TGTATGTATGCATGTGTGTATGTGTGTAGGTATGCGTGTATGCATACGTGCATGTATGTATACATGTGTGCATCTATGTACTCATATATGTGTAACGATGTGTATGTATGTACGTATGCACGGTTGTACGTCTGCATGTATGTATGCACATACATGTGTATGCATGCGTACACGCATCCGTGCGTATCCTCATCCTCTTCGCTTGCATGCAAACGTACAACACATGTGTGTGCGTATAGATACAAGGCTGCAGTGCGGCATGCACCTTGGTCCCTGAAGTTTGGTATGCAGGCGGCATGGCAGGACGGTCAAGCCGACAGTTTAGCGATAACTCCTTGTTATTTGTTCCAGCATCGCCGCTAAAATGATGTGATCCGTTTTCCTTCCTCCATGCTTCAATTTTCCTCATTCTCGCCATACCCTGCGCATTTTCCCCATCCCCTCAGCTCTTCTTGCGGAGGCTCCTCCTTAGGCTCTCTTAGGGCCATATTTGACCCCTGTTGTGCCGTTTTGGGGCTCTCTTGGACTGGCTGGAAGCCCTTTCGGATGGTTGTGGGGCGATTTGGGAGCCTCCCAGGCGGCTTCGGACGCCCAGAAGACTGCCGTATTGGAGCGTCGGGAAGCCGAAAAGAGGAGAACCTCAAAATTAACCCAAAACCCGCAGAATCAATGATTGTTGCCTCTTGGGGCCTTCTTGGGAGTGCTCTTGGAAGCTTTTTGAAGCCTTTGGGGCCGTCCTGGGGGCCTCTTGGGCCATCTTGAGATCACGTCGGTCACTCTTGGAGCGCTCTTCTGCTGTTTTGAAGGTCTCTGGGACGTCTCCGATGACCCCCCTGATCCCCCCTGATCGCCCTAGGTGTGCTGGGAAGGCTTGGCAAAACGCCCTGCGAGGCCGGGGGGGGTGGGGGCCGCTTCGAGGCCCGTCCGGAAGGTCCCAAAGCCTCAGATCCCGGGAGTCTGGGTTTTGGGGGGTGGGGGTGGGGGGGGGTCCCCCCTTCCGGGCTTATAAACATATAGGAAAACGACTATATATACACATACAGGAGTATCTACATGCATACACGCAGGCATACGTGCAAACTCATCGGTATGTATGAATGTGTGCTGATGTGGCAATTGTGACAATAAGACTATGCATGCACACGCCCCCACCCAGGATTCGAATTTGACCATGCCCCATCTGCAACGCCTGCCGAAGTCTCAAGGCTGATCCCCCAAGCGGTGGTTACTTACAATGGATGGCACCCCGCCTCGGATGCGGGCAGCCCTGCCCCCCGCCACCATACAGGAAGGGAGCGAGCGTCGCGACCTCGGAGAGCGGCAAGGAGTGCCACTTCGCCAGCGTCGCCACTTGAGGGTGGCTCACCACTGATCCGAGTCGTCGTGCGGACTAACCTGCAGGGGCCACCCATCCACCTCGGCGCCGTCCAGGCGCCAGATCGCCCTCTCCGCGCTGGCCGCCGTCTTGTACTCGCACACCCCCATGCCGCGCGACTTGCCATTGGGCAGCGTGTAGAGCGTGAACTTCGCGACAGGGCCCGCCCGCTCGAAGTGTTCCAGGAGTGTCGAGGTCGTCGTATAGAAGTCCGCGTTCTCGAAGAACACGGCCCGCTGGTCGGCGGAGCCTCCGCGCCAGCCCTTGCGGAGTAACGCATCCAATGTGTCCGATGTCCGCGCGGGGCTCTGGGGCCGGCGCTGGACCCCCCCCGCTTGGCGCGCGGAGCGGGCCAGGAGTGGTGCCAGAGGCGCCCAGCGCCGATCGAAAAACCCCGCGCGGAGCTCCGAGGAATCATGCGCCACCGTGCCTCGTGGAGAAGAAGAGGCGCAAAGAGAACGCGGAGAGACCCAGAAGGGCATGGAGTAAAGAGGACAACTCCTCCTCCTCCTCTTCCTCCTCCTCCTCCTCCTTCTCATCCTCCTTCTCGTCCTCCTCCTCCTCCTCCTCCTCCTCCTCCTCCTCCTCCTCTTCCTCCTCCTCCTCCTCCTGAGAGGTCAACGGTTGGTAAGGTTCATAAAGGTGACCTTTAGTGCTGGCCCAAAGGGGGTCGGGTTATTTTTCTTGTGGGATGAGCTTGGCCTCGCATCGGCACCCGCATCGCGTGATTACGATCGCATCTGAGCGCGCCATGTTTGGGCCCACCCCTTGCAATCGACAGCAACACATACTTTTTTTTGATCTGCGGCCCGCAAGGAAAAGTCCAGAGGGCGTGTCAATACAGCAACGCATACGCGTCGCACCCTGCAGTTTGCATGGGTTACCCGAGGAGGAGCCAGACGACCAGACGGCGCGATTTCCGGCCCAGGACCAGTCCCGAATCCCAGCCCAAATCCCAAAACGTCTGGCTTGAATATCTTTGGATATCTTCGGATAGCTTTGGATATCTTTGAATATTGTTTCTCAAACATATTCCAGGCTCTCCGATGCGGCCGGTTTTGGCCTTGACGCCAGGCCTGGCCAGACGTCATCGCGATGCAGCCCAGCAGTGCCAGACCTCATCGCGGTGGCCCCCAGCAGCGTCTGCTTTCGCAGCGCCTTCGAAGTGCCATTCGGGGCGCTCGAATTCAATCGGCGGAATTCTGCGGTTGCCCCTTGGCACGAAAAATCATTCGAGTGGCGCCCCGTCGATCGTTGATGCGGCGCGGCAACGCTGGCTTGCGCGATTGCGTTGGGACCACACGCCCAGACGGGGGACCCGAGCGATCGTTTCGAGCCCTCGGCCCCGAGAGGCCGCCAGGAGGCCCCAAGAGGACCCCAAGGAGCCCCCAAGAGGCCCCCAAGAGGGCCCCAAGGCGCTCCCCAAACTGCCCCCAAAGCCCTCGGGAGCGCTCTCAAGACACCCCAGTGAGCATCCCTGAGGACTCTGACCCACAAACCAGGCACGGTGGCGGGATGGGCCGAAGGCCATTCGATGTCTTCGCAGCTTGTTGTCCTTGGGCCTTGGCGCCGCCCTTCGCCCAGCCCTTGGTGCCGCCCTTGGCGCCGCCCTTGGCCTTGGCCCAGCCCTTGGCCCAGCCCTTTGCGCCGCCCTTGGCGCGGCCCTTCGGGCCGCCCCTGCCACGGGGGGAGGGGGCAGGAAAGCCGGGCCCGCACGGGCGGCCCCGAACGACACAGCAAGACCCAGACATCCCGCGCCCCGAACAGAAGAAGAGACGGCGTGTTCTGTTCCCAGTTTTCGGCCTACCAGAGCTTTCACCGGGACTCAGGAACGTCAACAGAAAGCCGGGGTGAGAAACCGATCCTGGGAAAGTGGTCTAGAGTTCGGGGGCCCGTGTCTCGAAGAACTGGAGGCTCCCGATGTCTGGTCTAGGACGGGGGGAAAGATGCAGGGAAGGGAGAACAAATTTTGAGGAGCTGGGGGGGGGTCCCGCACTCCGACATCATTTTTTGTTCGCAGCGTGGACCCCCAGAGATCCGGGCAGGGCCCTCCCTCAGGGCCGGATTCTCGCCCATGGCAGCTTTGACGGTCGCAGGGCCTGGTGGCGGCACCCGAAGCCGACATGGCGCAAAAACCGTCCGTCGCCCCGAAATGGAAGAGGGGTGGTCTGGGGCAGGGGCAAGAGCAGATATCTCTGCGGCAACTCGTGGGAAACTACCATACCATCGTTCTGGCCCTTGCGAACCGACGCGCACGCTGATCGACACTCACCGGCGCTAGTCGACGCTACTCGAAGCTGAATCAGCGCTTCCTCATCGATTGCCAGACGCTACAGGCGGAACTGAGAGGACGTTCAAGGCCCCCAGGATTGGCGACCGCAAGATGGGAGCAAAATCCCCGCCCTTGGCCTTCACGAGCGGCGAACATTTCACCATCCGCGCCCTCGCGCTCTGGACTCTGGGGCACGACCCCTCGGATGCGCGGTCGTACGGATGCGCTCCGCGCGGGGCATCCGCCAAGAGTACGTCCCGCATCTGCGTTGTCGCGTCTCAGGGACGCCTGGCTCGCGAGGCCGCGGATACGGAGATGGGGAAGCCAGACAACACCAATGCCGCTACTCCCCAGACCTCTCCAGGGGCGCGTTCTGACCATAATATTTCGAGAAGAATCAAGCTGTGACGACGAGGGACCTCCAGGACGAGCAGCGGTATCGGCACCTTCCCAGACCCCCGACGTCGTGATTTTCTTGCACAGCGTCGACCCCCATGAAGTGTGGACCCCCTTCCCCGGGACCGGCTTTTCATCCTGAGTCGTTTTCTGACAGTCCCGAGTCCCGGCGAGGGCCCCCAGAGGCCGAACATCGAAACACAACAACAACAACAACAACAACAACAAGAACAACAACAACAAGAACAACAACAACAACAATTACTAGCACGTGGGGACACTCCGTTCTCACCAGTGCCAGGGTTTTCATAGGAGGCGGGCAATACCCCCACTTTGTGGGGGGGCCGGTTCAAGCTCTACCAAATTTCCAAACGACTCTTCGCCACCACCCACACCCAGCTTCCCGCCCTATGACGTTCGGACACTTCACTTCGTGGCATGCGGACGACCGTGGCTACTATTCAGGGCCCCGCGGCCGACGACGACGGCGTGCGCGCGCGAAGAAAAAACGAATGTGTCCCGCATGGTATTATTTGACAGGGATGATGGCCCTGGCAGGTGCGCAACCGTTGTTGCAGAAGTTCGAAAAAGTTGCTCGCAAAAGCCCGTTTGACAGAAATGTTTAAAAAGTGTTGGGTTTCCTACGAATCCGCAAGAGCGCGCGGGATGAATTTTGAAACTTTTTTTTGAAAAACCATTGGTTTTTTCATGTTTTTATGTTAAAATCGCTACGAAAACTAAGGTTTTGGAAGGATTTCATCTTGCGCGCGCGAGTGTGCACTTCGTGTCGTTTTTTGCAAAGGATTCTTGAAGTTTGGTTATGTTAGAACAAGACATGTCATTTTATATTGTTTTTTGACAGGGAAAGCGGGCGTCAACAAAACAACCGGATCTGGATCACATCGTTTTGCCTGAGACTTCCTCACGAAAATTATGAAAATGAGGCTGCGGCCTAGGCGCGGCGAGGGGGCCATGCACCAGGGGTCCCAACAATAATTATTCTTTAGAAATAATAATGTTCAACAACAACAACAACAACAACAACAACAACAACAGCAACACCAACACCAACAACAACAACAACAACAACGACAACAACAACAACACCAACAACACCAACACAACAACAACAACACCAACAACAACAACAACAGCAACAACACCAACAACAACAGCAACAACAACAACGACAATAACAACAACAACAACAACAACAACAACAACAACAACTTCAACAACAACAACAACAACAACAACAATCGTTTTAAGACTGTTCGCCCTTATCTGCTCGAGTGTCGAATAACGCAAATTGCCCAAACCCTCGATACCCGCCCTTTTCGTCTTCGATCGAACCCCTTTTGGGGGGTATACCTTTCTTCCTGCAGGCCGGGCCCCGGCAAGCGGCGGGGCGGCCGCGGACCGTCGGCCTGGCCAGCGGCAGCGCTGATCGGCGGGGCGGCCGCGGACCGTTGACCCGACCCCAAGAGGGACGGACAGGGGACCGACCACGACGACGACGACGACGACGACGTCGACGACGACGGCAACGACGGCGACGGCGACGACGAGCGAAAGCAAGAGCGAGAGAGAACGACAGCAGAGCCACGAAGGACACGAAGTAGGCCACGAAGGGCGACAGCGGGGACACGAAGGGAATGCGTATGGGGCCACGAAGAGCGCGAACGAGCGTGGGCCACGAAGGGCAAATAATGCGGGACCACAGAAGGCAACGATGGGGCTACTGAGGGTAGCAACCTGGGCCACGTAGGACAATGAGGGGGCCACAAACGGCGACAGCGGGGTCACGAAGGGCATGCACATGGGGCCACCACGGGCGCGAACGAGCGGGGGCCACGAAGGGCATACGTATGTTGGGCCGCGGAGGGTAAGGACGGGGCCACTGAGGGCAGCAACGGGGACACGAAGAGCAGCGAGCGGGCCACGAAGGGCGACAGCGGGGCCACGAAGGGCATGCATATGGGGCCACCACGGGCGCGAACGAGCGGGGGCCACGAAGGGCATACATATATGGGGCCACGAAACAAAGGGAGGGGGCCACGAAGGGCTGCAACGGGGCCACGAAACAAAGCGCGGGGGCCACCACGGGCGGCAACGGGGCCACGAAGGGCTGAAACGGGGCCACGAAGGGCAGCGAGGGGGCCACGAAGGGCTGCAACGGGGCCACGAAGGGCAACGAGGAGGCCACGAGGGGCTGCAACGGGGCCACGAAACAAAGCGCGGGGGCCACGAAGGGCTGCAACGGGGCCACGAAACAACGCAAGGTGCCACGAAGGGCTGCAACGGGGCCACGAAGGGCAGCGAGATCCCGATTCCTAGGTAATCTGTGAAGGAGTCCTAAGCGTGAGCGCGACTCCTGAGTGCCTGGGTGTCGGGAGCGCGGCGCTAGAGAAAATTACAAGAAATTTCAACGCAAGGGCGCTAAGTCCCAAGCGAGAGCGCGATTCTTCAATAAAATGCGAGGAAGCCTCGGGCGGGAGCGGGGGTCCTGGCTAAATTGTGAGGAAGTCTCAGGCGGGAGCCGTTGTTGTTGTAACCCGGGGGCCAGGGGGCCAGTTTGAGCAGGAAGACTTTCCTTTACAAAAAACAAGGTGCGAGCCCCGGGGGGGACACTTCAATTGAAAAAACAATGCGCACCGGTGAGGGGGGAGCAACAATCATTATTCTTCAAGAATGAGAGTTCAACAACAACAACAACAACAACAACAACAACAACAACAACCACAACAACCACAACAACAACAACAGCAACAGCAACAACAACAACAACAACAACGACGATACCAACAGCAGCAACAACAACAACAGCAACAACAACAAGAAAAGAACGTCGTGATGATTTCGCAACGCGAGGAGGCCAGGGCTATCGGCACCTCCTCCTCCTCCGCGGATACGTCTTCGCCCACGGGGCCTGCCCCAGCGCTCGTCGAGGTCCCAGGCCTCCTCGGAGGCCAGGCGCCGGGCGGTCCTGCCCTTGCTCTTGCCCTGGCAGGCCGCACGCAAAGGGTGGCCCTGGGCAGGGGTCCCGGTGCGCGGCCTTCCCCGAGATCCCAGCGTCGCCCACGTAACCTCCTCCTCCTCCTCCTCCTCCTCCTCCTCCTCCTCCTCCTCCTCCTCCCTCTCCTGCCCCCCCTGCTCCCCAAGACCGCTAATGTCTGCGGCCGTTGGCGTGCCGAACTTTCCTTCGCTGGTGCGCGGCCGCTGCCGAGCCGGGCGTTTTCTAATCATTCCAAGCCCCGAGGCTCTCACAGATCGATCCAGCTCGAAAAAGGACCCATGAAAATGGGCTCCGGGGCTCTGGTCGTAAGTCGGATCTCAGGGTATGGGGGCAGTGGTGACGATCACAACCACGATAACAATGATAAAACAACGATGCGAGCAGCAACACGGTGATGATAAAAATAACGAGAGAAACGGTAACCACGAGCGCTGTCGTGTACGGAACGACAAGATCGACAATGGAAACAACGATAACGGAACACGGTAACAAGGAACACGGTAACAACGGAAAACGGTAATAACGATAATGATCGTGGTTATCGTTGTTGTCGTCATCGTCGAGGGGGCCAAACCTGGGCGCGCAGTCCGCTGCCATCGCAGCGCATTCGGCGATCTGGGGGGGGCCCAGTAGGCCAGCACCAATGGCCACTCTGGCGAAGAGCCACTCTTACCTGGACATCTGGCGTCGCAAACTTTTCGAGAAACGAGCGCCCGACCTCTCGACCACTTCCGGGGAATCGCTTTTTCATCCCAGGTCGTTCTCCGACGGCCCCAAGGCCCAGTGAGGGCCCCGAAACGCAGAATAAGATAAACCATCTATGGTACATTCGCGCGGCGTCTGCGCGCGCATAGATTTTTGACACCGCGTCGATGGTGCACCCTTGAAACGATCGCGGCCCCGCTCGTTCTAGGTTGAATCCAGTCGGGTCCAATGGCGTCCGGGGGCCCATCGGAGCTCCCGCGTCGCCGACTTCAACCTTGAATGTCTTGGCGTCGCCAGCGCGCTATTGCGCCGCAAGAACCTGCCGGAATTAGGGGAACAAGCAATGACATAAACATAACAACTCGGGAGTTCAACGCCGATCCGAGAAATCCGCGCGGACCTCGGCGGCTACGGAAGCGCAAAACATGCATGCATGCGCACGTGCGCTCTTGCCTCAAATCACGGGGGATGTATCGCAATCATGCGCTGCGCTGTCACGCCTGTTTCTCATCACACTTGTTTTGTTCATCGCACCTGTTCGAAGATGTTATGTTAATGTCATGGTTCGTTCCCCTAAGAATGACGCCTCGATGTTGCTCGAGGCGCGGGATGGGATTTGTTGCGCTCGGCCGGCCTTGGTGCCGCCAGACTTCGCGCCCCTGCATTTGGGAACCACAAGGTTTTGGTCGGGTATGTCCTCCTAAAGGTGGATCTTGGGCGAAAAATAAAATATAGTCCAGTCCAAAGTACCCCAAAATAGTCAAAAGTACTCGAAGGGTCGTCTCCAGACTATTTTTTGACCATTTTAGAATAGTCCCCCTGTAGAGGGACACGCCCGACTTAACACAAGGTATCGATACCGCGACTCTCTAGACCTCTCCTGGGATGCGCTCTGACCAGAATCTCGAGGCGAATCCCACGTTGGCGACGAGGATCTCCCAGGAGGTCCCCCAAGGGGAATACAAAGGAATATAATAAAGAGAAGAAGAAACAGATGAAGAAGAAGAAAAAGAAACGGCACAAGCATAAACTTTTGGCGCTCCGCGCGGATTTCTTAGATCTGCGCTGGACCCCAGGCCTGGCGCGCGGAGCGCGCCAGGGGCGGCGCTGGAGGGGCCGACAGAGGGCCCAGGCGCAGATCCAAGCAAGCTGCGCGGACAGGCAGAAGTTTATGTTTTCTCTTCAGACTTTTCTTCTTCGAAGGAAGGGTCACAGACCCCGTCGCCTCGTCAAGAAATCACGACGAGCGGCTTTTCATTATTGTCGGCGGGCCTCCCGGGGCCCTCACCGGACCCCGGGACCGTCAAAAAACGAGTGAGGATGAAAAACCAATTCCGGGTAAGGGGTCCAGACCTCTGGGAGTCGACATTGTGAAAAATGACGACGTCGGGCTCTGGTAAGTGGTACCTTTTACCTCCTCCGACCTGCCCTTGCCGGCGTCGCCATTGGCCAGGGCCATCCTGCCCCTGTCCGCGCCGCTGCCCTTGCCCCTGGCCGGCGCGCCCGGGCCGCCGCCCCGGCGCCCAGCCTTTTGGGCGGAGGGATCTTGTCAGGGTGAGCCTGGCACCCCCGCGTGGCGCAGGAACGGGGAGGAGGAGGAGCGAGGAGGAGGAGGAGGAGGAGGAGGAGGAGGAGGAGGAGGAGGAGGAGGAGAGGAATTCTTTCTGGCGGCAATGCCAGGAAAGGGAAGTGAGAAGGGGCGGGCAGGAAGGCCCGGGACTCGGCCTTCGGAGATAACTTCCCTGCGCCTTCCCAGAGATACAGAGAACGTCTCAGAAGGCGCGAGGCCTTCTGAGAAGCCCCGCCGACTTCTTCAGAAGGCCTTCTCCTCCTCGCTTCCCACCCCCTCGCCCGCCGCCGAGGAGGAACAGCTTTCTATCGGCGGCCACGTGGATCCAAGCCGCGGCAAGGCACTGGTGGGACGCAGCGAATCACATCTCGGACCTTCGCCTCTGAGGCCAGACGGGCTTCCAGCTCGACCAACATCTAATCATCCGCCACACTGAGCTCCGCCGAGGAAGTGTCAGACCTGAAAATCCAGACCCCCGACGTCATGATTGTTGTTCAGAACGTCGAGCCTCAGAGGCCTGGACCCCTGCCCGGGGAACGGCTTTTCAACCCGAGTCCATATTTGACGGTCCCGAGGCCCGGCAGGGGCCCCTGGAGGCCGGAAATAGGGAAAACCTCCCGTCCTGATTCTTTCACATCGCGAGGAGGTCTGGGAGCATGGCTCTCTTCGCCTGACCTCCCCCCCCCCCGAGACATTCCGCGTGTCGACCTCGACACGAGGGATGTCTGTGCATGTCGACCTCGACCTCCCAGTACCGCTTCTTCCTCTGAGCAGGCTTCGCTTCGCCCCGAGCCTTGCCGGGGCCACCGGTCGCGGGGCCGCCCCTGCTGGCAGCGGGGCCCGCGTCCCGGCGCGTCTTGCCGATGGCCGGGGGTTGCTGCATATAGGAGGTGGTGCCCCTGGCCCAGGGTACACCCAGACATGATCGCGTCATGAAAAATTCAGGACGGGATTTTTCTGTATTTTCGGGCCCGGGGGCCCCTCGCCGGGCTCAAACGACTCAGGATGAAAAACCGGTCCCAGAGAAAGGGTCGGGATTTCCATGGGACGCCGTCCTGAAATGATAGGACGTCGCATGTCGGGGCACACCTCTTCGCCGCGGACGCTCTGTCGGGTAGACGTGCCCTGAGGTCCTGGCGTCGCAGTGTCTTCGAGCCGGGCGATGTCCCGAGTGACTTCGGGCTCCGGGGTCCTCACAGGTCCATCCAGCTCGACAAAATTGGCCCAGGGAGATGGGGTCCGGGGCTCCGGTCGTGAATGTTTGCTTTTGTCTTGAATGTGTCGAACGTCGGATCTAAGGGTAAGACTCGGGTTCGGGGGACTCCGGCTGGCCCGACAAAGACGTTCAGAAAAGGATGAGACCCAGCCTGGAAGTGGACGCGAGCCCCCAGTGCAACCATCCCACGAGTACTGGGCTGTCAAAATTCAGAGACAGGCCCGTCAAAAAATATCGGCAAACCCAAGTTCAGGTGGACTCGAACCTCACGTTTCCCCGATTCTGGAGCTCATGGGGCACCCTGGGCCTTCAGATCCTCAGATCTTACGCTGCAAGACGAAATCGGCATCGCAAAGAATCGCCACCGGAGCCCCAAACCCCATCTGTCTGCGCCACTGTTCGAGCCAAATCGATCTTTGAGGGGTGCCAAAGGCCGGGCGAAAACGCCCATGGTAAACAACAAAACAAAACGCCACGCCAGGCTCTCGAAGGAGGGGTGCTCTGGAGGCCGTGGGGGCGGGCCTCCTTTCTGGGCATCCTGGAACCGCGTTTCGCCAGGTGGCACCTCCCCGGACCCCGACATCGTGATTTGCTTCGTAGCGTCAACCCCCAAAGGTCTCGACCCATTTCCCCGGACCGCTGTTTCGCCCCGAGCTCTTTTATGCCGCTCCCGGTCTGGCGGTCTGGGCCCGCAGAAACCGAAAAATGGTGAAACTCCCTCCGTTTTGTTTGTTATCATGGCTCGAGGGGTCTGGGTTTGGAACATTATGGGCCACCCTCCCCCTTGTGATTTGCCAGACAAGGACCCCGAACCCTTTGGCAGGCGACCTGAGTTAAGAGGGCCAAACAAAAACTAGGGAGATAGGGTTCTCTTCTGCAGATGTATCAGACCAAACCGCCCGGATGTACGATCCCAGATGCGAAGCCCGGGACCGGGGTGAGGCCACGTCTTCATCGTGCTCTTAGTCTTCATCTTGTCTCCTCGATGACCGTGAGCCGGGTGGCACCCCCAGCAACACCCGAGATGGAGCGCCTGACGCCGAGGAAGCTCCGGGCGGCCCTGCCCAGGCTGCGGGCCGATGTCCGCCCATCGGCCTTGCCCTTGCCGGAGGACTTGCCCTGGGCGCTCGGAGCCGGCTGCCCGCGAGACCCCCAGACCTCCGGCGTCTGGAAAAGTCGGGACGGAGGTTTCTCGCAGCACTCGGCCTCTCGGGGTCCTTAACAGGGCCCCGCGGGCCCGTCCAAAACGGACTCGGGCTGAACGAGCGGTCCCGGGGAAGTGGCCGAAACGTCGCATACTCGAAAAGATCGAGACGCTGGGGGTCTGGTCCAGCGCTGGACAGCGCACAGACAGCCGCCCCAAGCATAGTCCAAGCTTGTCTCCACGGGCCCCCCCGAGTAGCCTGGGGCGTGACGAGGAGGAGAAGGAGCAGGAGGAGGAGGAGGAGGAGGAGGAGGAGGAGGACGAGGACGAGGAGGAGGAAGAGAATGAGGAGGATGAAGAGGAAGAGGACGAGGACGAGGACGAGGAAGAGAATGAGGAGGATGAAGAGGAAGAGGAAGAGGAGGAGGAGGAGGAGGAGGAGGAGGAGGAGGAGGAGGAGGAAGCAGGAGGACGAGGACGAGGAGGAGGAAGAGGGGGAGGGAGGGAGGGAGCCCTGGGGCGCGGCGGCGGAGCGCCCAAATGGGCGCCGCTGGACGCGGCGCCAAAATGTGGAGCCCGCCCTAAGCGGCTACTCGAGGGGGCCTGATGAGGAGGTGGGACTACCTGGAGGGGCTGTCTGTGTGCAACCCAAACAACCCTGAAATCCTGCATGGCGTCGCAACTATTTCGAACCCAGCGTTTTCGAATGATGTCGGACCCCGGGGACCTCACAGATCGATCTGGCTCAAAAAAGCGCAGTGCGATGGAGTCTGGGGCTCTGGTCGTCTTTTGTCCCGATGATTCACTTTTTCCGAGACATCGGACCTCAGAGAGTTGGACTACCTGGAGGGCTGTCTGTGTGCAACCCAAACAAAGCTAGAGTCAGACCCCGTGCGTCGGAGTTCTTTCTGAACGTGGGCCCAGAAGAGGTCTGGACCCCTTCCCGGGGACTGCCTTCTCATCCCAAGTCACCGTTTTGACGGTCACTCAGCCAGGGCCGCTCGTCCAGTCAGGGCCGCCGGTGAGATACCGTCCGTCGGGCACTTTTGTTCACGACGCGAGGGGTCTGGGAACCTCCGAGGGTCCACATTGTGACGAGCAAATCACGGGCATCCAGACAGAGCCGACTGCACCTTTCTGCGTTGAGCCACCACCCGGGCTCTTCCCCGAGCAGTGCTTGCAGTGAAGTTCACATCGCAACCGAGATATCGAAGGTCTGCCCCAGAGTGAGGAGCGGGGATTTATCTGTATGCACCGTCTGCGCACCGATGTCTTGAGACCCCATGGGGTGGTGAATTCATACATATACAACGCCTGCGGCGAGGACCAGGAAGTCCTACTTCTCAAGCGGTGAATATGAATTAATCCCCGCCTCGGACATAGTGACGGGATTTCTGCGGCGGAGGCTGGTTTAGCTTCGGCGCGTCACCAGCCCCGACTGGAACTAGCCTCTTTGCGTCCTGGTGCGTCACTGGGCTAGGCTAGGCCACCGACAGTTTGCTTGTGTGCCTCACTCTCCCCGGCTAGCCTGGGCCGGGTGGGAATGCTTCAATTCGGTTCAAACTGCACTGGCACCGAGGTGCTTCAGCTTGCTGCACCGTATTCCCACTTGCATGAAGGGGGAAAGATAGGGGGATCAACGCAGGAGGGGGACATCGAGCTGGAATCGACCCTGCGTCGCCGATGGACCGGGCCCACGTTCCTAGGCGGGGTGGGCTATCAGGCCCGATTCGGCAAGACATGGGCGATTGAGTGTCGATGCGTTTCGCCCTGAGCTTATCCCCCCCTAGCGTTGCCCTTGATCGCAATAGAGGAACAAACAACTGCATGCATAAAAACTTGTGGAGGTCCGCGCGGATTTCTTGGATCTGCCCTTCCTTGCGCGCGGAGCGCGCCAGGGGCGGCGCTGGAGGCGCCGGCATGGGGGGCCCAACGCGCATCCAAGAACTCCGCGCGGAGCTCCGGAAAGTCTATGTTTACGTGAGTATATATATATATATATATATATACATATACCTATTTTCTTCGATGAAGCCCCTGCTTCCAAAAAAGTGCTGCGCAACAAGCTCGCACTGGCGGATGTTCCACGTCCCCGTGCCGCTCTATCCCACACCCGCGGGAGTGCAGGAGGCCGGCCATGGAACGCCAGCCAGAGCGAGCCCTTCCCAGACCCCCTCGCGCCGTGCACAAACACGGCGGGATGCTTTTATTGCTACTTGCGGCCTCTGGGGGCCCTCGCTGCAGGCCCCAGGACCGTCAAGCAACCACTCAGGATGCCAGTCCACGGGAATGGGTCGAGACCTTTGGGGGTCCATATCGTGACGGGAAAAATCATGACGCGAGAGGGGGGGCTGGGTTTCGTCGTAGTCGGGTCGGTGACCCAAAAGCTGCTGGATCGAGGAAAGCCTTCCCGCGTCCCCGACCCTGGTGGATCGACCTGGCGCGGAGAATCCAGAACGCGGGGCAAAATCTATCAGCATCGACTCGGGAATCCGGGTCCAGTCGAAGTGTGGGTCGGATCGGGCTCGAAACTGAGTCGAACTCGAATCGGAATGGCAGCGCCAGGATGCGCAGCAGCACTGTTGGGCAACCGAGCCGCATCGGATCACTAAAATGTAGAAAAAATCGGATTGGATCGGACTGGCCCAACAAGATCTTGAATCGGATTTGGGAAAACAGGAAAGGTGGTACCGATGGAAGAGGAGAGCGAGGAGGAGGCGGCGAAGAGGAGGGAGGAGGGAGGAGGAGGAGGAGGAGGAGGAGGAGGAGGAGGAGGAGGAGGAGGAGGAGGAGGAGGAGGAGAACGACCTCCCTGGAGGCGCGTCCTAACCAGAACTTCAAGGAGAATCCGACCGTGGCCACGAGGGCTCTCCAGGACGAGCGCAGCGGCAGCAGTAGTCTTCCTCCGAGGATCGGCCGCGGGGTCGACGTCGCCCCTGCGCGATCGAACACACCCCAGCCCCGACACCGAACCTGAAGGGAACGATACAGTGGGGGCCAGTCCATTGAAAACCTTCCACAAGAAACCCAACCATAAGACCCCAGGACGTCCCAATCCATTAAAACCTTCCACAAGAAACCCAACCATTAGACCCCAGGAAGTCCATCGATTTTTAGTGTGGGAACGTCACGCTTTCTGGGCACCCTGGAGGCAAGCAGGCTGTTTCTTGGCATGGGTCCCCACTGTAGGGGAGTACTGGCCCAGGGGGGAAGACGTCGAGCTGGAATCGTCGATGCATCGCCGGTAGATCGGGCGACAGGCCCACGATAGCGAATCCACATGGTCTGGGGCGGGGCGGACTGCTAGCATTATCGGGCCCCCATCGGCGATGAATGGGCGATTGGTGTTCGATGCGCACCCCCCCTGAGGCTATTTCCCCACTCCAGTAGGGAACTTTTGCTTAGCGTGTCGCGGCGGCGGCCCCGGGGACACGCTGTGCCATGCGAGCAGATAGCTTGTCGCTCCGCTCCGGGCGGGAGGTCGGGCAAGGCTCGCGACTGGACGCCTGGGGCTGGAACATGTGGGCCTGAGCCTGTGGAGCCTGTCCCCCTAAGACGAAGCCCCCTGGAGCCTACCACCTACAGTCGGGTGAGGATACAACGAGAATCTCTGAGATCCAGCGGCTCTGGAGGATGCATCGGGCGCCGCGGCCTTCTCAGAGCGCTCCGGAACGCTCCCCGAAAGTTCCGGAACGCTCTGGAACGGATCTATTCTGAGATCCGACGTGTCGACAAAATTGCAACATCGCGAAAATCACGACCCGAGCCCCGAAATGGAGCGAAAACGTCCGGCCCGAAAAAGCTGAGCCGCCAGGATCTCAGGGTAGAGCGGATCTTTCCTCGTCCTAGCCCAATCCGACCCCCCTGAGCCTCACCCCCTACAGTCAGACCGTATATGCGCGGTGAGGACGCCAGGGCCTTGGAGGGCCATGTCGACACTTTGCGAGCGGGGCGCGGCCAGCGAACGCGGCCAAGAATGGGCCGAGGAGGTAAGGATGCAAGGGTGGCCTTTGGAAGATGGCCCTCTAAGACTAAGAAGAACAAAAACGCCATCGGAGGTTGGGGGGTAAGATCGCAGTGGAACGGGGACCCCAAAACAGAAAATCGTTTCGTTTCGTTCGTGTGGTGCGTCCGGGCGAGGCGAAGCTGCGTGGGCGCGCGAGAGGAATGATCCCGCCGTTGCTAGGGCGAACACAAAACAAATGTTGCTCCTCCGCCTTCCGTCCGTCCAGCGGTGTCCCGCGGTGTCCCGTGGTGTCCCGTGGTGTCTCGTGGTGTCCGCCGTTGCTAGGGCGAAATCAAGGCAAATGCTTCTCCACCGCCAGCCCGTCCGTCCGTCCGTCCAGCGGTGGCTCGCAGTGTCCCGCGGTGTCCCGTGGTGTCCCGTTGAGTGAGATCGATAGTGAGATCGATAGTGAGATCGATAGTGAGATCGATACTCAGATCGATGCGGTGCCCGGAAGTTTCCAGTGGCGTCCCGTGGTGTCCCAAAGAGTGAGATCGGTAGTAAGATCGATCGTGAGATCGACAGGTGTCCGATCGATAGTGAGATCGACACTGAGATCGATGTGGTGTCACGTGGTGTCCCGTGGTGTCCCCTGGTGCCCCGTTGAGTGAGGTCGATAGTGAGATCGATACTGAGACCGACAGTGAGATCGAGAAGTGTCCCGCGGTGTCCCGTGGTGTCCCGCGGTGGCCCGTGGTGTCCCGTGGTGTCCCGTTGAGTGAGATTTGTAGTGAGATCGATCGTGAGATCGACAAGTGTCCCGTGGTGTCCCGTGGAGTGAGATCGATAGTGAGATCAATTGAGTCAGATGTTGGTTCCCCCCCTCTCATCCCCCCCACACACACAATCTCCTTATCAACCGAAGGGTGGTCGTATAGGTAAACATAAACTTTTGGCGGTGCGCGCGAATTTCTTGGATCTTCGCTGGACACCCCTCCCTGGCGCGCTGAGCGCGCCAGTCATGCCGTTTTTTTTCCACTTCGGAGAGTGGCCTTGGGAAGGTTGCCCATCCTTGCTACCCCGACCCCCAATGTCGTGTTTTTGTTCCCAACGTGGACCCCTGAGGTCTGGACCCGTTCCCCAGAACGGGTTGTCATGCTGAGTCGCTTGTTGACGGTCCCGAGGCCCAGCGAGGGCCCACAGGGGTCGAAAACAGAGAAAAACCTCCGTTTTGATTTTCGTTTCTCATCCGACCGTGGAGGCCTGGGAGGGTTCACCTTGGGGAGGGTTGCCCATCCCTGCGATGCGGGCTGCCTGTACCGTGGCCCCCCGAGAGCGCCCGAGTGTTTTGTGGATGCTATGACAGTGGACACTCTCATAATCCGGTCATTGTATTAAAGCCGCGCTTGAATGTTTGAAGATTGTCTTACATGTTTAAGACATGCTGGGCACATGTTTTAAAACATCTGGAAATTACTTGGCAGCATGCTTCCTCTGTTGCATCCTCGGGGGACCTTCTCTGTATCGTCGCTGTCCTACCCGCGTCGAATCCGTGTCGAATCCATGTCGGACCCGTCGGATCCGTGTCGAATCCGTGTCGAATCCGCGTCGAGCCCGCGCCAAATCCGCGTCGAGCCCGTATCGAGCCCGCGTCGGGCACAAGAAAAGACACCAATTTTCGCGACGAGCGAGGTCCCCCGAAAATGCAACGCCATGCTCCCTCTCCATATTGCTCGTCGCCCACAAGCCCCTAAGCTGGGCGGCCGGGGCCTTGGCGCGCGGCGGGGCGTCCGGCTCCCGGCCCACCGCCCTCCGGCTGCCCTTGCCGGCGGCGCCCTTGCCCTTGCCGCGCCCGGGCGCCTTCTCACGGGCCTCGAACTCACATCCCCGCCCCGAGGATGGGGCAGCCCAGCCCAGACGGCAACCCCCAGGCAAGGAAGAGAGAGCATGGCGCGGGGGTGTTCCTCCTCATATTGTCGGCCTCTGGAGGCCCTCGCTGGGCCTCGGGAGTGTCGAAGAACGACTCAGGATGGAAAAGCGGTCCAAGGGAATGGGTCGAGACCTCTGAGGGTTGACGTTATGAAAAAATCATGACGTCGGGGGTCTGGGGATCGGGAGCCCCAGGGGGCGGGAAAGGGGGCATAACGAAGCACCCCCTCCCAGACAGTGGTGCCGGACGCGCTGCGGCAGTGCTGGGGGCGCACTGAGGGGGGGAGCGTTACGTTATGGGGGGGGGAGGGGAGGGGGCATACCGAGCGTTATTGCCCAGAGGGTGAGTCAGCACTTTCCAACGCGATGACGGTCTTGGGGAAATGTCCTCAGAAACTGAGGAAATCCTTCAGATCGGCACCGAGAGGATGTGATTGAAGCAACGAACAATGTACATGAACAGAGACAGTTTGCCAGTTCGAGCAGATTTCCTGGATCTGTGCTGATACCACCTTCCTGGTGCGCGGGGCGCCAGGGGCGGCGACAGAGGCGCCGCCAGGGAGGACCGCCAAAAGTTAATGATTATGCCATCTGTTGCTCTTCGACAGATGCCACTCGTACAGTCGGCCCTGATTGGTAGGTCCACCATGCCAAGTCGAGGGTTCCCCTGTGTCCTGCCTATTGCGGCCGATGCAAGCCGCATGTCCTTTTGGTGCTGTGGGCCACAGGTCTGCTGAGTCATATCGGCCTTATGTGACTTCCATCCTGCTTCTGCGTGGTAGCTTTACATGAATGAACAGCTGTGCGTTGAACCTTGGCAGGTGAAGCATTGGGTGAGGTTCAAAACAGAATCCTCCGCTTGCTTCCCCTGCTGCCGCTGCTGCTGCAGCCCCAGATCCCCGACGTCATGATTTGTTCGCAGCGTCGACCCCGCGAGGTCTGGACCCCCTCCCCCAGGACCGGTTTTCCATCCTGAATAGTTTGTCGGCGGTCCCGAGGGGCGGTAAGGGCCTCCAGAGGGCGAAACTTACATCAACAACAGCAACAACAACAACATCAACAACAACAACAACAACAGCAGCAGCAACAACAACAACAACAACAACAACAACAACAACAACAACAACAATCACTTTACCCGAACGCTCAGTGTTCTCACCAGTGCCAGGGTTTTCATGCGACGCCAGCCAATACCCCCACTTTGTGGGGGGGCAGTGCAAGCTCTACCAAATATCCACACGACTCTTCGCCACCACCCACACCCAGCTTCCCGCCCTATGACGTTCGGACACTTCACTTCGTGGCCTGCGGACGACCGTGGCTTCTACACTGGCGTGGAGTACACACCCACAGAAGTTGTTAAGCCTACGTTCGCACACCCACAGAAGTTGTTAAGCGGGTAGAAATTTTGAAAAGTCGTGCAGGTGTTTTTCGAGGACCTACGGTGCGATTCGTGTGATTTTATGATGCGCGGTGCTAAAATTCTTAAGAAGCCCAATGGTTTTTGGAGATTTCGGCGTGCGCGCGCGAAGAAAAAACGAATGTGTCCCGCATGGTATTATTTGACAGGGATGATGGCCCTGGCAGGTGCGCAACCGTTGTCGCAGAAGTTCGAAAAAGTTGCTCGCAAAAGCCCGTTTGACAGAAATGTTTAAAAAGTGTTGGTTTTCCTACGAATCCGCAAGAGCGCGCGGGATGAGATTTTGACATTTTTTTGTTGAAAAACCATTGGTTTTTTGATGTTTTTATGTTAAAATCGCTCCGAACACTAAGCTTTTGGAAGGATTTCGTCTTGCGCGCGCGAATGTCCACTTTACCTTATTTTTTGCAAGGGATTCTTGAAATTTGATTATATTAGAACAAGAAATGTCATTTTATAGTGTTTTTTGCAAGGGAAAGCGGGGGGGAACAAAACAACCGGATCTTGATCACATCGAATTACCTGAGGCTTCCTCACGAAAATGATGAAAATGTAGCTGCGGCCTAGGCGGCGCAGGGGGGCCGTGCACCAGGGGTCCCAACAATAATTATTCTTTAGAATTAATAATGTTCAACAAACAACAACAACACAACAACAACAACAATCATTTTACCCGAACGCTCAGTGTTCTCCCCAGTGCCAGGGTTTTCATGCGACGCCAGCCAATACCCCCACTTCGTGGGGGGGCAATGCAAGCTCTACCAAACATCCACACGACTCTCGGGAACCACCCACACCCAGCTTCCCGCCCTATGACGTCAGGACACTTCACTTCGTGGCGCGCGGACGATCGTGGATACTACACTGGCGTGGAGTACACACCCGCAGAGGTTGATCACTTGTTTGGGCCCCGCATGTGCCCCGCATCGTGCATTTGTTGCGCATGACATACATAGTACAAAGACAGAGAGAGAGAGAGAGAGAGAGAGAGAGCAAGACAGAGAGCCAGAGGAGAGAGAGATAGAAAGAGATTCGTCACATGTGTGAGGCAACCTGAGAAGATGTGGTACACGGTACACGTGAGATGGTACGCACTGCCAAGATAGTTGGTCACATTTTTGAGGCAATTTCCTGGGAAGGCGATTGCACAAGTAGATGTGTTACGTATGATAGATATGAAGCAGAGAAAGAGCGAGAGACAGAGAGAAGGAGAGAGAGGAGTCGGTCACATCTTTAGGGCAACTTCCTGAGGGATGTGGGAGGACACAAGAGAGAAGGTATCGTTGTCCCGTTGGTTGTCTCGATGGTTGCCCCGATGGTTGTCCTGATGGTTATGGTTGTCCCGATCGTTTTCCCGATGCTGGTCCAAATGGTTGTCCCGATGGTTGTCCCGATGGTTGTCCCGATGGCTGTCCGTCTGCGATGCAATGTTGTCTGTTTCTGCTGTTATACAGTCCCAAGGATGACGCATGCATTGCTCATACTTTCTCCTGCTTTCGCAAACAGGTCCAGTCACACGTAGGAATATACACGAAGCATACTAAGGCGACTCGTCGTCTGCGACGTCGCAAAGGCGCTTGGGTACATGGCTGCCTGGCTGATGCAGGTGCGGGCCTGGCTGATACCCGTGCGCTCCCAAATGCCCTATGATATTGCCGATACGCCTGCTGGCGAGAGAGCCGGGGCTTGCATACGGCAGTGCTAACGCGAGCACGTTGTGGACCTGCGGTGGCAAGGCCGGGTAATCGAGCATGTTCGGATACTCGTCGCTCTGACCAAAAGACCGCCATACGGGCAACCACCGCCACTGGTCTTGACGCGGATACTTCATCTCTGGGCCGACCTCAGGGGATACGTTCCAAATGGTCATTTTCTGCGGGTCCGTACCCATGAAGGCCGCGTGATACGCAATGAATACGTCCAAGGTGGCGAGGGCCCTGTAGGAGAGGCCGGATACGATCTCCGCATGAATGGGAATAGCGAGCTGACCGAGCAAATACCGCATACTGCTATACACCCACTGGCCCGGGTGGACGAAGAGGTTGGCTTTCCAGGCGACGATGCCTCGCGCGGTGCATAGCGTGTCGAATACGTGCAGAAGGTAGCCAATGGGCTTCCCAAGCCTCTCATCCTGGAATACCGAGAAATTCCCGAATACCGCGTGCGCGTAGAAGAAGGCGTCGAAGTAAAGCCACTCCGGCTCGGGGATGCCCCCCATACTGTGCTGGTAGTCCGGGTCGTTGTTCGTCTTCGACTGCCTCGTGGACATAACGCTCGATACGGCGAGGCATACGCCCTTGACACCCTCCCAGAGAATAGGGAAGAAGATACCGCACGCGAACCACCTCTCCGAGCCACACTGCTTGAGCCAGCGCCGCGCATACGCCTCGTGGTTGGGTGGCGTGTGCCAGCGCTCCATACTGTAGCGCACTTCATCATCGCTTGGGTAATACTCGCCCGTCACGGGGTCGAGCCGACCGGCCATCTGGGAAGCCATACGGAAGGCCGGCAATCTGGAGGTGAACACGATCTCGCGATATACAGTAAGCGGCTTGAGCAGAAACCGCTACGTACAAACAGAAGCGAACCGCATACATGTGCCCAAATGCCAAAGTCCATACGACCGCACACGCAGAACACTCATGCGAGCGCCGTCGGAAAGACGAAGTCCGCCGCCGCACATGCGACCAAAGCAGGCATACTCACTTCATCTTTTTATTTGAATCCACAGGCCTCATAGACTTCCCCTGGGAACCCCCCAGACGCCCTCATAAACTGCCCCTGGGAATCGGGTCACAGAAACTAAGACAATCGGGCCCTGGGAACCCCCCAGATACCCAGAGAGGTCTGGCGGCTGGGGCCGAAGGCCTAAAGAGAATACATAACCACAGGGCCCTGGGAGGCCCTCCCAAGATCCCCAGATGGGTCTGGCGACTCCGTGGGAAAGCCCTCGGAGCACATATTACACGTGAGCCGTGTTGCACATGATACATATTGCACATGATACGTCTGCTAGCCATGGGACACATACACACCAGAGTTGGTCACATTTCTGGGGCATGTTTTGACACACATCCCCGTGTCATGTATGATACGTATAGCACATGACACGTATGATAGACATGAGAGCAAAAGAGGCTCACGCAGGCTGAGGCCGAGGCTGAGGGTGAAGCTGAAGCTGGAGCAGGCTGAGGCTGGGACACGCTGAGCTGATGCAGGCTGAGGCTGAGACAGGCTGAGGCCGACGCTGAGGCAGGCTGGTGCTGAGGCTGAGGACGATCCGTCACCGTCGCCGTCGCCGTCGCCGTCGCCGTCGCCGCCGTCACCCTCGCCGTCGCCGCCGCCGCCTCCGTCGCCGTTGCCATGCCCATGATTCTCGATGCACGTGACGCGTGCGGGCCCTGAAACGCACAGTAGATATGATACTACGCCAACTTGCAGGAAGTAAGGCAGAACGTGTCGTCGCCAAGCGCGATCCTTCACAAGACGGAGAAGACACTTTGGACAGCTA